GTACAGTTAGTGCATGATCAATCTAGAATGTGTTAAAATAAGAATGCAAAATATATCACCGTAATTAAAAATACGTGAACGTGATACCAACAATTGGATATTATACATGTACTTGAATGCGAATAAGAATCTTCATGGTGATGCTTTAACGTAATTACGAGAATAAGGAAGTAGGAAAATGACATCGGAATATCCCTTTCCCTCATTGAACTACATGGTTTTACGACATTTTACCAAATCGAAAGGACGCTTTTAGGAGCAAATGCATGACATTGCGTTAGGGGATGTAATCTATAGGGAAGTCGATAATATTTTAGTTCATTATACTTTATTATTAGAAAGCAAATTGGAAGATGAAAACACATCACCTTGATGTGGACTAGCTGATACCCGTCACATCAATCATTGAACATGATAAGAGATTAGTATACACGATTTATAGAATCTCTTTTAATATTATATTCTGTGTAAACGTCTTATTTCCACACTCACCCTGATTCAAAGATTTTGTGCATTTTCAACACCAACTTCCCTACTCTGTCCTCGGTAATGTGTATTTATAATAATAATTATAATAATTCTAAACAAACGGGACTGAATGGGAATCGAAACCACTGTTTGTGTTTGGGGAGCCAAAGACGTTACCACTGGACTAGCAAATCATGCTATCTGATGTAGTGTTATTGGCAATATATGATACCTGTCACAAATGCCGAAGCCGAAGGCTCGAAAATGCCTTCAAAATATATATTTTAACGGTTACAATCAAATTCAAACGACGGTCACTATCTTCCCACTGCCCTAAGGTATTGCTTACACTGTTAGTTGTCAACAGATCGTTGTAGTTTGGGAGAAAAACGTGAAAATGAGACTTCGGCTGCCCTGCTATTACTATATATATATGACGTCTGCAAGGTTGGGAGACGCGGAAACAGTCTTTAGATTACTAATTTTACTGGGAGAAAATCGAAAGTTATAAAGATAAAGATATATAAACAGGTCTTCTTTATCAAACCATGATTGCGCGTGCATGTGTGTGTGCCTCCGTGTGTGCGATTGTTACACGTATGAAGATCTACAGTTGATAAGGAAAACTACCGACACCGGACCGAAACGGACAGGAACACCAGGGGAAGGGTTGTCTGAACAGCAGACGGAGCGCTAAAACAAAGAACTCAAATAATTTAACTGCGCTGCACTTGCCTATATCAAATAATGTCTCTTATCAGGTATAAATCATGGACACGTTAATATTAAATAAAATCAGGTGATTCTGTAACAAACCACGGGTCCAGGGAGGGTGGCGATAGGATAATACGGTAAATAAGAAACATTTTAAACTGGAACTAGATTTATAGTTAATACTGGATTTTAATAATTGTTGGTAATACAATCACGATACAATTAAGAACACTGTATTATCAAAAGAATGAAACGTGCACGAGATCCTCTATAAATATGGAAATTTTTGTCGAGAAATGTTTAGTTGCTGACTGTAACAAAGTACTGAGAGATGGCTGAAATTCCACAAAATGATTCCCTTCCCATAACCTCATTTTCTAGACGAATGATTTAGGAAGCAACTTTTCCAATCAAACAGACTCCTATTTAAAATGTTGACTGACTCTGTTCTGGGTTAATCTAAATGCAATACCATTGAAAAGTGGTTTAACGGACATCAGTGCGTAGTTTACCCTTGCAACCCTCACCATCCTTGGCAGAGGATATTATCATCACTGTGTCAGATGACGTGGTCTGATGTTCATGTATAAAACAAGAAACAGTGTTACCCAGTCCAGTCACAGACAGAAAATGCCACGAAACGCGCCACCATGATGTGACGAGACTTATTGTACAGCCTTTTGGCTGTGTGTAAACCTAATTGAACTTTGAGTCATGGCATCAAAGAAGTTCTACGAAGGCTTCAGTGACAATTTTCTAACGTGTCACATCTGTCTTCACGAGTATGAAGACCCGCGTGTCCTCCCATGCTATCATACTTTCTGCTTGGCTTGTCTTGTCCAGCACGTGGCAGCGAGTGGGACAGGACGCAACATCACGTGTCCAGTGTGCCGCCAAGAGGCGCCTGTTCCACCAGGTGGACTGGAGAATCTTGTCCGTAACTTCTTTTTGTCCAAGGTGAAGGACTTCATGTTGACAGCAGCAAGTAAAGACAAATTGTGTGGGAACTGTCACTCACAAGTTGCTCAATTTTACTGTCAAGATTGCAAACATTTTTTCTGTGAGAAATGTCGACAAAAACAGCATGACGCTATAAAATTTCTGCAGGGACACACAGTGATGTCGGTGTCTGACTTTGGGAAGCAAGTCCAAGAAATGAAGGGAGTAACATTATTTTGCGATAAGCACGAAGAAGAAAGGTTGAAATTTTATTGCACGGATGACGATGTTGTTGTGTTTCGTGACTGTATTCTCACCAAACACAACAAACACAATTGTGTAGACATTGCAGATGTAGCAGAAACGCAAAAAGAGAAAATACAAAGTGCATTTCATGATCTGTCTAAGAACATTTCACTATTTGAAAATGCAGAGTCGGAAATATCCAAACAACAAGAAGATGCGACTGACGACGTAAACAAAACGGTGACCAACATAGAACAACAGGAGGCGGATATTATAAAAGAGGTTCAGCGAATTTCTGCTCAGTTGATAGCGGAAGCAAAAGACCATGCTGCAACGAACATAAAATCCCTCGAGGCGGAGAAAGATCACCTCCAACTACAGAAGGTATCCATTCACAGCACTTTTGAGTTTGCCAAGCAGCTCGTCCAACAAGGCTCCCACACAGAGGTGATGATACACGCTAAGAATATCCAAGCAAGGATGAAAGAACTGAGCAGTGTAAAACCCACAGTACCGACAAAAAACACACTCACTTCTACTGAAGAAAAAATTCCAGTGAAATGTTTTGTTTTTAGGAAGAAGTATAAATGGCTAAATACTGCATCTTTGGTGGATGAGTTTGATAGCAGTATGGAAAGTTTGTGGGACATATCGTGTAGTCAAAGTGGGACAATATATTTTGTTTCTTGCCTATCCGGTAATCTTACAGCAATATCACCATCCCTTAAGGTGATATTTCAGGTTGATGTACCAAGTCCCAGGGGTGTCACCGTGCTCAGTGATGACAGACTGGTGCTTACATGTGATAATGGATGCCGAGTTTCTTCCTCAGGGAAATATGACCGAACATTTGGTCAGGGTGACATGTCCTACCCCCAGGGTGTTGCAGTGGACAAGAATGGACACATACTTGTCTGTGACGCGAGCAATAAATGTATCTGTGTGTATGATGCTGTGCACTACAATCTTATCAATAAGATCAGTGTTCCTATGTGTGAAGGTCCGCGATACATTGCAGTTCTCCCATGTCGTGACACCATTGTGGTGAGTGACTGTTTTGGACACTGTGTATATGGAGTGACCCCCCAGGGTGATGTAGTATTCCAGTACGGTACACCAGGTAAGAAAGGTTCAGGTGATGGATACCTGGACCAGCCCTGTGGAGTGTGTACAGACAGCGCGGGTCACATCTTCATTGCTGACCTGGGAAATAACAGGGTGGTTGTTCTGACCTCAGATGGTCAACTGATGAGATACGTGGTGGGGCCACAACAGGTTTCTATACCACGGTGTGTGACCATTGATAACAAAGGACAGCTTGTAGTGGTGGATACTGGAGGCAATGTTAGAACATTTCACTATATAACTACAAGTAATATATGAGACGTTACCAGGCAATAACTCAGAAAGTGAACAGTTTCAGGTGCACTACGTGAAAATCGTTGATTGGGACCAAAAAGACAAGTTGTTTTAGTAGGACAGACATATAGAAAGAAAAATAGATATGAAAAAAAAATTACATGTATCATACGAAAATATGGGGGGGGGGGGGGGTGACATCATTTTTATACGTGGACTTAAATTCAATTCATTATCAAGTTTAACTAACGTATAGACAAGTTACAAGTCTGTAGTCGAGCCCTGATTTTGGTTCGGATATTTATTTGAATGTAATATGTAATACGCATTGTGATTCTTCCTTTATCATGTCAAATGTACCGGGGGTATTATCTGTTGCACGTTTTCTTAATTTTTATGTCCAAGATTTTTACAAATAAATAATTTCGTTTCACATCTATTTTGTTTCGACATGCTTTTATCTTCAGCGCTCAAAGTAGCGCAACAAAATCGGCATCATCATCATCATCATCATTTAGAGCCTATAGTGTTCCACTGTTGGACAAAGGCCTCAGCATGCTTTTTCCATTGTTTCCTATCCTGAGCCTCAGATTTCCAGTTTGGCCAAGGTTGCTTCTTCCAAGACTTCCAGTAGTCATCTAATTCATCCCTCCATCGTTTGACCGGCCTTCCTCTTTTTCTTTGTCCATACCTTGGGGTCCATTCTGTAAGCCTGATTGTCCACCTATTGTCCTTCATTCTTTTGACATGTTCTGCCCACCTCCATTTCATTTCTTTAACTGTGAGCAGTACGTCCTTAACTTTGGTCTGTTCACGTAACCATACATTCGTTTTCCGCTCTCTTGGACTGATGTTCAACATTATTCTTTCCATCTTTCTCTGAGCTACTTGTAGCTTGTCTTCCATGGAGGCATTCAGTGCCCAGGTCTCTGAACCATAGGTGATTGCCGGCAGCACACAAGCATTGAACACTTTCTTTTTCAGGCAGGTAGGAAGGTTGCTCTTGAAGATGTCATTGTGCTTCCCATATGCTGCCCATCCTGCTTTTATCCTTCGTTGGATTTCTTTCTCCAGTGTTCGATCACTAAGGCTGAACCGTTGCCCAAGGTATATATACTCTCCTACTGCTTCTATCTCTTTGGTGTTGACCTTCACTGTGCAAGGTCCAAACATCACCTTTGTCTTGCTGGTGTTCATCTTTAGCCCACTTTTAGCGCTTTCATCTGCTAACGCCTGTAGCATTTCTTCGAGGTCTTTTGCATCATCTGCTACTATTATGATGTCGTCTNTATGTTTATGCCCTTGTCCTGCCAGTCTAGATCCCTGAATATACGTTCCAATGCTGCTGTGAACAGTTTAGGAGAGATTGTATCTCCTTGGCGTACACCTTTCTTGATCCTGATCTTATTGGTGGTCTTGTGTAGTTTGACTGTTACAGAGCTATCGGTGTATATGTCTCTGAGGACGTCTACGTATCCATCTTCGATCCCTAGATCTTGCAGGGATGCCAGTATATACTGGGTTTCTACTGAGTCGAAGGCTTTATCATAATCAACGAATGCTACACATAGTGGAATGTTATACTCGAGACATTTCTCTTTGAGCTGGTTGACAGTGTGCATATGATCAGTAGTGGTGTACTGGCCTCTGAAACCTGCTTGTTCCTTTGGCTGCGCTTCATATAGTTGTCTTGTTAGCCTTTCGGTCAATATTTTGTGTAAATCTTGTACAAATTAGAAAGTAGGCAGATGGGTCTGTAATTCTTGATGTCTTTCCTACTGCCCTTTTTGAACATTATGATCATGTTGGCGTTTTTCCATGCTACAGGAATTTCCATCAGACGTAAGCACTTTGTGAAGAGCCTGGCTAATTCCTGAGATAGGATATCTCCTCCTGCTTTTACCATTTCTGCTTTGATGTTGTCAGCTGCCTTCCCGTTCTTCATTTTCTGGACTGCTGACTCTACATCCCAAGCTGTTATGTCTGGTAGATCGCATGCTTTTGTTGAGATTTCTATTCCCTTGTTGCTATCATACAACTCTCCATAGAATTCTTCTACTCGTTCTAATATCTGGTCTTGTGTGGTGAGCTCATTTTCATCTTTGTCTAGAAGAGTCAGCATTCTATCCTGCCATAGTTGAAAGGATCTCTTTGCTCTTTTCATGCTTTTTCCATTTTCGATGGTCTCTGCTATCTTCTTCATGATCTGCTTCCTGATGTCTTCCCTTGCCTTCTTCTTGATGGTCTTATCAAGTTCTGCATATTCGATGTTGTTTCTGATGTCCCTGTTCTTGTTTACCTCCATTTTCTTCATCATCCGTCTTTTCTTCATGAGAATCCTCGTTTCTGTTGAGAGCTTTGAGTCCTTCATTTTACTGACAGGTGCGACTTCTGATGCACATTCTAGGATGGCAACATATGCCATATGCCTTAATTATTTAGATTTTTAATTATTTTAAGAACAAAGCTCAAAGCAGCGCACCACACAATCGGCACCATATGCCTTAATTATTTAGATTTTTAATGATTACTTAGTAGTCTTTCCCTTCGTAAAAAAAACCTTTAAAGGCAACAAGGACGCGAATCAGGCATACTGCAGCATAAAACGAATACTGTGCACGCCTTTTATATTTTCCCGTTGTGTGCCGTTTCCATACGCTCAAAACACGGCATCCAAACGCAGTATTGGAAAAAGTAGTTTTCTGAAAGAAAATAAGTATTCATGTGTTCATACCTTAGTTTGTAAGAAAAACTGTTGTATTCACATTTCAGTATTTGAAATTATATTTCGGCTACTTTTGTCATTTAAACTATATCTCAAAGTGCATTTATTCTTATCTTGGTTTTTATGTTAATAAACATTCCATTCTCATTTTGCAAACCATTCAAATTGTCCTTATTAAGTAATTTCTAAGAGACCTGTTTTCAATTTCAAATATTAAGGTCACAATAACTCTTCGTTTTGGCCAAAAATTGGATTTTCCTGGCGTAAACGGCAATTTTCCCGTACTTGCCAATGGTCAACGGCCCATTCCTGCATTCAAAGTTAGTCCAGGGTTTTTTTTCCTAAACGCTTGGTTTTTTGTTAAATTCTCTTAACAGATTTTAACTGACGGAGCCCTCTCTGACTTTGCAGTCACGCAATAATAATAATAATAATAATAAGATTCTTATATGGCGCCTTACATTCTATCTCAAGGCGCCTTACAATAATGGCTAATATACTAAAATCATTAAAATGACTACAATATTTTAATCATAAACTCTCATTGGAAACCATTTAAAATTTACACTACTAAAAATCAATCTTATTAAAAAACATATATATATTTAAATAAAATCTAAGAGATATAGACAGAATTAAAAAAGTGGGTCTTTAAAAGAGATTTAAAATTGTCAAAGTCTTCTGTTTTCCTAATAAAATTTGGTAGACCATTCCACACTCTTGGGGCGTAGATTATAAAAGCACGATCTCCATAACTTTTTAGGCACCCCTTCTCTAAAACAGAATGTTCTAAAATAAAATCATTCTCAGTATTAAAACGTGTGGACCGCCGTGGTAAGTTAAAACAGATAAGATCAGATAATTATAATGGTCCTTGTGAATGAATCGCCTTAAAAATAATACAGAGTACTTTAAAATCAATCCTCTGCTTCACAGGCAGCCAGTGTAATTCTTTCAGAATGGGAGTGATATGGTGTGTACTATTGTACTTAATTTGACAAACCAGTCTTGCAGCTGAGTTTTGAATAACTTGTAACTTTTTAATCTGATAGTCACAAATACCAAAGAGGAGACTATTGCAGTAATCTAATCTTGATGATATAAATGCATGTACTAATTTTTCAGTGGTTTTGTTATCTAACACTTTCCTTATTTTACCAATGCGCCATAGTGCATAAGATGCTGATTTACACACTTCAGATACACGCTTGCCCATAGTGCCATTTTCATCGAGGGTAACTCCCAGATCTTTTACAGAACTAGATGGTTTTATAAGAACATCTCCTATGCAAATGTTGCCTTGAACCTTGATGTAAACCATATCAACTCAGTCTTACTATCATTTAAAGCCAACATGTTCNATGCGCCATAGTGCATAAGATGCTGATTTACACACTTCAGATACACGCTTGCCCATAGTGCCATTTTCATCGAGGGTAACTCCCAGATCTTTTACAGAACTAGATGGTTTTATAAGAACATCTCCTATGCAAATGTTGGCATTTGCTACATTTTTTCTATTTGCCTTGAACCTTGATGTAAACCATATCAACTCAGTCTTACTATCATTTAAAGCCAACATGTTCACTTTCATCCATTCTCGAATCTCTGCAAGACAAGTCTCCATAGAAGTGATTGTTGCAGACTGGCTGCTCTTGCATGTAATATATACTTGTGTGTCATCTGCAAAAATAACAGTGTTCAGACCATGCTTTAGTATGATATCTTCTACAGGTAACATGTATAATGAGAATAGGATCGGACCTAACACAGACCCTAGTGGGACACCGTACTCCAAGTTAACTGGCTGAGATAAAACCGACTCTATTGAAACCCTTTGTGTTCTGTTTTTCAGGTAAGAGATAAACCAACTGCAAGTCCATTCACTCTAAAACGATGCTGCAACCTGTGAAGAAGAATATTATGATCTATGGTATCGAAAGCCGCTGAAAGGTCTAGAAGAACTAAAATGACATCTCTTTGTTTATCCAGGGCAAGCATTATGTCGTTGTGGACTCGAAGTAGAGCTGTCTCAGTGCTGTGGCCTTCTCTATAGGCAGACTGGAATTTCCCAAAGAGTTTATTTTCAGATAGATAGCTGCTTAGTTGGGAACATGCCATTTTTTCAAGAAATTTACCTAAAAAGGGTAGATTTGATATTGGTCTATAGTTTTTCAGGACATTTTTACACAGCCCTTGCTTTTTAAGTAATGGTCTAACAATTGCAGTTTTGCAGTTTGATGGAAAGATACCTGTTGAGAAAGACAGATTTACTAATCTCAAGAGAACTGGAGATAACACACTAATACACTCTTTCACTATATATGTTGGCATGGGATCCAGAGCACAAAACTTAGAATTCATCCCCTTTATAACAGAGATAATATCCTTCTCTGAGACCGGTAGGAAATTGCTCAGTTGGGCCCCACCACCCTGACTGGCACACCTGTCTTGAAATTCACTTGGTAATGGATCTGATTCTGAGGATCCTGTGGTAGCATTTTGAGTTAAGTCCTTACGAATATCCTTGATCCGGTTTGTGAAGAAATCTGCAAAAACTTGAGGAAGTGTTGACATTTCCATATCAGGAAGCACACTTAGCTGGCTTGACTTAGATTCTGAAATCTTGTCCACAATCCTAAAGAGTTCCCTTTGATCAGCACCTTCAATACAGGTCCTATGGTATACAGTTTTTTGCTTTTCAAGGAGGGTGTGATAGTTAGCTCTGGCAGTTTTGAATAATTCCCGGTGTATTTCCAATTTTGAGTTGCACCACTGACGTTCAAGCTTCCTGATCTTTTTCCTTTCTTCGCTGAGTTCAGATGTAAACCATTCAGCCCTCTGTTTCACCAACTTGACTCTGGTCTGCATTGGTGCAATATCTTCCATGATCTTGGATATAGACGTATTATACAGATCTACTAAGGTACTTGGATCTGTGGTCTGTTCTGCATCCTCAAAAACATGTTTAAACGCATCATTTAGGATTACTGGATCAAGTTTCGAGATATCTCTACGTTGGATGACTCTTTTTGAAGGTTCCGGGCGTACAAGGTCTGCCACGAAGTGAATTGATGGTCCAGTGTCTTTTGCTGCCACACAAGGGTTAGAGTTTGAGTGGGTTTGATTCCCTCTCAGCTCCATTTTTACAATTATTATTATTATTATTATAGAGATTCTATAAATCGTGTGTACTAATCTCTTATCATGGTTCAATGATTGATGCGACGGGTATCAGCTGGTAGTTTTATTCTACTATTAAACGGCAACTACTGTTCTCAGATGAATGCAGGTAAAGCGTTGTCAGAATTTATGGACACGTAAGGGTTTGGAGAAAAGTTGGTAAAAATATCTTTCCAATTTTCTGCCTTCATTTCACAATTAATATTAAAGGTACATACGAACCGAGCATCGGTGGAGCGCGGATTCCCAGTAACACATGTAAACCACTTCTATTAGTTTCTTCTACGACTCTAATAAATTCGACATGCCAAGGGATAAACTGAATAAATCACCCGATCAACCATAAAAGAGCTTTAGAGTTCTCCTTTCTTTAAATTTTTGGTTGTCAATTTAACCTACTTTCGTGACCTACTTTTCTGCCCCATTGACATACAGCATAAAATCTGTTCAAACATCACTTTCGGGTAAAATTAAACAATGCCTTTTGGTAATTCTCTTAGTTATACTACTTGAAACTGTATGCTGGCATTTGGTTGGTTTTTATGACAAAAAAATTGACTTTGTATGTATCTTTAAGAGGCGCTTATTTTAAGTCTCACTTTGCTCACATCTCTTTGTTTTTGCCCTTTAACTCCTTTTTTAATATAAACAAACAAATGGTTTAAGTTTCTCGTTAACTTTATTCACCTATATATTCGTAATCTATTTAAACAAAGCAGCAATGTTACTGATTGACCAATATTGTATAGACTACTGGGAAGTTGAATGAAATATTCCAGTAAATATTAAATGTTCAAATCCACACATCTAGAAGGATACATATTTTATAAATAGACAATGATATATATCTCCAACTAGACATCTCTAATGTTCTCTTCATTTTGCCCACCCTTACATCACCATCGTCTGTGAGCCTCCAACTTGAATGAATGCACTGGAGTTCGAATTATAGCAGGATGTCCCTTGGTGCTTGGGGGATCTGAGCCATCAGGTACCTTGAAGGAGAAGCGTTGCAACAGGTTGGCGAAAAACAAAAACAGCTCCATTTTTGCTAACGACTCACCTAGGCACACTCTTCGTCCTGAAAGAAAGAACAATTGAAATCCGTCAAACTCACCAGTTTTACAACCTAAAACGAGACAACTCTCTGTTCTGTAAAAGACGACAAATATCACTGACATATGGGGGACAAATTTTCAGATGGCAGTTTGAAGGTGGGGGCATCTCAAAGGGCAGTTTTGTAAGGGGTTAAAGGAACCGCCTTCACATCAAATAGAGAAATGCACAGTTCACAACATTTGGTGTATTTGCTTGAGGTCTAGAGATCGATGTCCATTTTTTCATCACTTTTTCGTCTGTCATACAGCTTTGAAACTTACCAATAGAAAACGGCATCAAATATTCCGGTTTCACACATTCCCCACTATCATCTATAAATCGTGATGGATCAAACAGCTCTGGGTCTCTCCACAGCGTTGGGTCTCGAAATATCGTGAACAGATTAGCAAAAACCATGGAATTGGCAGGAATAGTGTAACCCTGTCAGACGAAATAAATAAAATGCACTGCGATAAATAACATTGTCTATAAAATTAAACTGAAAATATAAGATACATGACACATATCTGGTCATTCCAATCTAGTATACTGATTAAAAAGTACATGTAGGTCATATTTTGATCCAACAACGTAATGATACCAAATAAATTACGAGGAATGAACAACAGAAATTATAACTTAAAGGGACCTTTTTTCCCTCTGTTGCCGTTTGCCAACAGGTTAGCAGCGCAATAAAATAACGAAGACGCTTCATGTAAGCAAAATAAAATCCACAGGTAATGTTTTGTGTGTTATTTTGTATGTTTTCAGTTCACTTTCTTACCATCAGCTCTGTCTCTTCGCAAGTGCGATGGGCCACTGCCACTGGGGTGACACAAGCAAAGCGCTGAATCTCCAATAAAGTTGCTTGAACGTACGGCAACTTACTGCGATCACTCAGCGTAATACGGCGAGACCCGATTTCGCTGTCCAATTCTTCGTGGACCTGCGTTTCATAGATCGCAACATTTAATAATTTTAAATAACCCGATTTTTTTTTATTTTGAAAATGTCAACATGCAGAACTGTTATCTTAATAGCGTCATCCAATAGATTTTCCTCAAAACATACAGTATACCTAATTTGATGCGTTTGATGCCTGTTATATGCAGTGAAAGTAGGCGTTTTGTTTATAGAATGTATTGCTTTTGCACCAGTTGAGTAACGATGACAATTTCATCTACATGTACATAATGTATGTATAATCAAGGTTCATTTTTGATCTCGCCTATAAGATGTGCGAGCACAATCCTTAAATAATCCTTAAATATTATGCTAATCTCATAAAACCTGCCTTCTCCTGAACGTCTCCGTGTACAAGGAGCAGTAACAAGGCCCACTGCAGGGTTGTTGATGTTGTCTCCGTGCCAGCTACGAACAAATCTACTACCGACGCTAAGAGTTGGTTTTCTGCAAACAGAAAATCTTATTCATTTACTTTCATTTACTTCCTCGACTATTCGACTATTTTCTATTTTCAGATATATTCTTCATTCAAATTCTTAGGTGAACTATAATAAAGAGTCCATTGGACGCACAATACCCCTGATTTTTAAAAATAAAATACTTCGTATTTCTTTTTAAGGCTAGAGCTCCTGTTTCAACGGGCTTGCGACATTTTTGGAGAACATTTTTACCCAACTGTCACCCTTCTAAGTTGGGGCTTTGGCCATATTGATGGTTAACAACAGGCTGATACACTTGTGTTCACGAACTTTAAATAAAGCAGCTTTTTTTCTTTTGTGACATATTTGTGAAAGTGGGCCGAAATTCGTTTACCAACGGTCCCAAGCTCGGCCTAACAGAAACTTTAGCTTCTAGGTCTTTTAAAATGAGTATGCCATATCGGTAATTTGGTATTGAAAATGTGATAATAACTATCTTAGTACTGAAGGAGACGTCGTGGATCAACACGTCTAGCCTACCGCAAAAATTTGCCTGTTCTCCTCTCCCTTCTTCAGACTTCATTGCCTCAATAAAGACGTCAACATAGCATTTATGATCGCTTGGATTATACGACTCCATGTGGGCATGCACCTTTTTCTGAATATACTGTCTAGTTTTCTTCAAATTGCTTAACATGGTATGGAAGCCAAACATGTCTCCAGGAAGAAAGCGCAGCCAAGGGAATGAATTCACGATACCAGCTTTCCTTAAGAATTAATTAAAAATAGTGCATATTAAGGGCGTTGACCTCTTTAAGCGCAACGTTTGTAAAGCAAAACAAACAAACAAACAACAACAAAAACAAAACAAAATAAAAAACAATCGCTCGTTTCGTCGCTCGCTCGCTTTCGCTATCTTACTCTCATTAATATAGCTATGGAACTATGTAATACATACGCAGACGCTTTAAACATTTCATCTAGAGCCTTGAAAAACGTTTGAAACTCTTGATCGTTGAACTGGTTCCTGCAAAAGGGGGGAAAGTTACTTACATTTTGTGGTGGAATAATTCTCATACCTGACATGCAAGAATGCGACGACTGATTTAATTACCTACACATGCCTTATTAATTGAAATACTCCATATTTAATTTTAACTCTGCATACGAGCCGATACATAATATATAAACGTTATGAAATATGGCTCATTCACTTTGTTCTTTCGTAAATCTCCTTTTTTGAAAACTTTTAATTCGATTTTATATTACAGATATTTCATCTGCATGACTTTTAAAAAGAAAATGAATACACACAAGTGTCTAAATTTCATTAATTATTGTCTGATTCCACATTTTCTACAGTCTTTTAATGCATCTGTATAACACACCTGTATCCAAACACAATGGAATGAATGATGTTGGAGACAGCGGGCACGAGGAGGAATTTGAGGTCTATCGCCGCTCCGTCTCTCTGCAGAATCTCGTCAATCAAAGCGTCGACTTCTTCTTGTATTTTGTCTCCAAGTGACATCTTTCCGAAACCAAAATCTCTCAGAGTCGTCAATGCGAACTTCCGTTGTGATTTCCAGCGTTCTCCATCGGTACCAATCAGCCCAAAATACTCTCCTAAATTGATTAAAAGCTGTCATAAAACAAATACACATTAATGGCGTTTCTTTTACGAGTTAAAATAAATAATTTGTCGATGGATAAAAGATGAATTACTTCTAGAAGTATATTTCATATGACATATTTTAGTTTTAAGTAGATCACTAAAATATTTGATAGAAAACGCCCTGTTTTCAAATGTTACATTTCATTGTATAGGCAACAAGAAGTTTTAAAGTTTCTAGGAACCCAAGCGAATCGTTACTAGATGGTAAAATAAATTGAAAAAATTACTCTCTTAAAACCCATCATGCTTTATTTTAAATTCTGGTTCCTTCATAATTAATTGTAAAGCCGCAAATTATAAAAATGAGACTGTCCATTTTATTTGACAGGCTCCCGTAAAAAGAACTGGTGTACTGCTACAATATTTGTGATATTAAAAAATCATTACCATCGCGCTCATTAAAAATCTTATCCAGGTACATCCTTGGACGATGACTGAAAACGTGCCCCTGTTTAACGAACGCCTCCTTAACCATTTCGGGCGTATTCAGCACGATGGCATAAATCTTTGTGAATCCTAGCTCAAGCCTCACCACAGGTCCGTGTTCCTTAGCCAGCCGGCCAAAGGTTTTGAGAAAATCTAAATCACTTGAAGAACTGAAGATTGTTCCCACAAGAGGATAGGACTTTGGTCCTGGGGGAAGATTCTTTGGCTGTAAGAATTGAAAATGAGAGAAACAATAATCAGATTAAGGTAGCGTTTTTTTTTCGAAATGTACACACATTTTTTTTCCAAAAATGTTTTATATGCAGATCTGGACATCAGGCAAAGGGGAACTTTCTTTTTGCCACAACCCATCCATCGACTCTGTGTCAGGGATGTACATTATAATGTGCTGAGTTTTTACAAGCTTGCTTCTATGGGCCTCACAGGGCGATTCTCTCTTTCCTCCTACCGTTATGACCAGATTGCAACAGAGGCTACTTAGCAAAAACGAATTAAAAACGTATATATTCTGCACTAATCTGCATAAAATGACACTGCTCCATAAATACTCGTAAATGTATACTGGGCCGTAAAAATCCATTAGAAAGGGAAGATTTTAGATCTTGTTTATGTGATAAATTGTTGGTTTATTGTCTGATCTTGCCCGCGTGTACATGTATATCTTTCCTGACAAGGAACCAATTATGCCTAGCGACCGCACATACCTATAGGTGGTCCTAGTTGTTCGATTTTGCAAGCAAAACGTGTTCGTTGTCCCACGAGCATCAGATTTATTTTTACATTGTGTTTGGCTTCTCAACTACTGCATCGGGAACTGGCTTGTATTGGCATATGACCAAGATCAGCTGGTACTACTACAACTACTACTGTATGTGGGCCCCAATAATTGGCAAACATGAATATCACCAACTCAAGATATTATACCTTCTTTTTCTTCCTTGTCCACCACCATGTTACGATGAATGTCAGCACAGATACCATCAACAACATCGTAGTTTTAGAGTCTTCCCACAAATCCATGATTGTGAAGAGTTTGTGCTGCTGTGGTTCGCAAGAGAAAATCGAAGATGTTTATCCGTCACGGTTTGCGATTTCCACAGATCTGTATATCAACAAAAGCACTTACTACCAAGCCTTCAACGTAGGAAGTTTCATCCCGAATATGATGAAGACAATGTCTATGTAAGCCAATTTAAGCCCTCGCAATCCACATGCAACAAGTATATCCTCGGTGTCATCTAGTTGCATCAGACGGCTGACTTGCTTTTGGTTAAAGTGACATCATTCTTTTGCATTAACAAAGTCGACCAAGTCCGGGAAGGAGATCGGGGCTGGTGGGGCGCATTTCCATGGTTGAATGCTCGGCAGCATGCCTGGCATGCGTTTATCTGAGCGACGGGCTAAAACGAACGTGCTAAAACGCTTTATTCGGCTTGCTAATGGGCTGCTTCTCATTACTTCATGGCAACAACAGTGGCTTTTCTATACGGTAAAAGAAATGAAAATAAAAAGTGGCAAAATACTTAGAGCTAAAATTTAAGACCATTTTCCAAGATATGTAACCTCCCTCTCCCGCCCAACCCCAAAAACTAAAAAGATCTAAAAATAAATCTTTATTGTATTCTTTTATTCGTACACAGCGTCTACATTACAGGTTGCTGTGACTAGATTGCGTCGCAGCTACCACTCATTTACTTGGTCATGACAAAAGGTGTCGCGTTTTCTGTCAATGCGCTGAATGCGACCTCTGGTTAAAGGACTGAAAGGGTCAATATCCAAACCATTATTGTGTTCTCACGTGTCGACACGCGTGTCTGTGATATATAGACTCAGTTGTAGCGTATAGACATAAACCGTTTATAATTTCGTGCTGTAACTTAAAGGATGTCAGCGCTTGTGCTCGCCTAGTTTGTAATGATTGAAAAATACAACTTGTGTTGTGTAGGCTGTGCATGAAGAACGCACTAATTGATAAATAGAAGTCGTCTACAGAAATATTAACAAAAGCAGAAAACAAGTCGAAGCCTGTATTTATCAGATATATCAGATATAGGCCAGGGCCAGGATATATTTGAATTATCAGGTACGTATGTACAGGTTAAGTGTAAGGGCGGAAGAAAGGTCGTCAGCGGTATCGTTAAGGTAAGGGCAAAAATGGACTTTTTTGTTATTTTAACGTCTCGGTGTCAAAACCAGGTTCTTAAATAATCGCGTATGTCTAACCCCGTGTCGGCACACGTTCTATGGATAGTTTAAAATCAATTTTGCGCCAACCAAGTTCCGTAACGGAGCAATATATATATATATATATATATCATTCAGTGTTAAATGAGTTAATGTCCTCAACTTTGCATGATGCATTCTAATGAAATCGTGCTAATCAATCACCAAACTCGTTGCGTTGTTAAGGTCCACCACTAAATGCTTGTGATGAACTCACTCATTTACATATTATGTTTATATAATCAGTCAGCATCATTCACCTTGCTTCAGTCTTGAATGAATATTTATCATCCTCTGTATAGGTATACCTGATAAGTAGAACTGATATAACTGATAAGTAGAAAATCTCACTTGTTATCTATTGCATTGCAATTAGTATTTAAATGAGTTGCTGCCACTGTGGCATTCAGACAGATTCTTATAAGATAATGGGTATAAATGCTGAAGGCTTGGACTGAATAAAGAGACCTTTAGAGTTGGAGCTGAAGATGTGAGTTTGTGGTTGTATTCCCTCTCCCATGCATCAGTGACAAGTGAAATATTAGAAGAACCTGGTTAGGGAGGAACATGGACCCCTACAGCGTCTTCATAAATAAAGATTGCCATCTTTGCCTTTTAGTTTGTGTCTATACTCGTCAGCCGACGCGTACACCGAGAAGAGCTTAGTAACCAAATTAATATTACCGTGAAAGATCCAACAGATGACAAAAATAATAACACAGAAATAGATTTTTTACTGCAGTGAAGTGCG